AGGGCGGGAGGCGGCGGGAGGGGGAGCAGGGCGCGCGCGCGGGGTGGCCGTTGGCGCCCGCGAGGGGACGGCGTGGCCAGAGAAATGAAACAACCCAGTTTTGACTAAAATCCACCCGATAGGTGAGCGAGCTTGAGCCTTCCAAGCTGTGTTTAAGTCTTCCTATTCAAAGGTTTCCAGTAATTTCTTTTTGTTTCCTTTTTTTCTTCCCAATTACGTGCTTCTGAAAATGTGGAAAACTCTAGTTACATATTTCAGTGCCAAGTTTTAAGCCAAGGTACAAAAGGGAGGCTGAATGTCTCCCTTTAGATGGGGAGGATTGCGAAAGGATTATAAACATCAAGTGGTTGTGCAACAAAATAAATTAAGTTCCGTGGTCTGTGTAGTAGGGCAAAATTAATTAAGGTGTGTAGCACTTCCAGGCTGCTCAGCACCTCAGGAAACAGGTGGAAGGATGGGTTTACATGGATGCATGCATTAAAGTAATAGCTCTACATGAATGTTGCTTAAAACTAGTTTAATTATTGAATTCAGAAATAAGGAGTTGGACATAAAAGTAAATTTTTTTTTTTCATTACACATTGACTTTTAAATGCCTAGGAGACAGTTATTCATCTTCTTTATTCTGTCCCTTTAATATACCTTAAGGCAGTGCTCCTACTAAAGCAAAAAGACAATCTTACTGGATTCTGACAGTTAACAGTTATGCAGAACTCTCCATTCTACTATCTAGTCTCTGCTTTCACTCTTGTTTTCCAGGAGCAGCTTGACAGTCTCCTCTTGGCCTGTTCCTTCCATATTTCCTGGCTTCCCAGGATGGTCACTGAATGAGAATGTTAATTATGTACTGCAGAACGCTACTGCCCTGGCCCTCGCCACATCTGCAGTAAATAGCTGCCGTTTCATCTTACATTAAATTAAAAGAGCAAATCTCAAAATTAATCCTATAAGAGAATGCTAAAGCAATAACATAATCCTATTTTGGGACAGTTTGCTCTGGAGCAGTTTTTCTTTCACATCGAAGTGTCTTGTTTTTCTAATCAGACAGTCCGCCCCGATAGATTACAAATCTCAGAGAGGACGTACACAGGTGCCTCTGGAGCTTTGTATACGTATTTTCTTCTCATTTTGTCATTGTGGCAAAAATGTTCTTCTAAGTTAAAGCCTTGTCAAATGGCTTACATGATTTGGCTAATTAAACTTCCTTTTAAAATAAAAGTAATAAAGTAGTAAATATTCTTTGAGGCTGTGTGCTTTTTGTAAGAACTCAGAGTAAGAACTCTGATCTTTGAGGATCTCCCTCACTTTTGTTAGGTAATTAGTTTAGGACATTCTGTGTTTACATGCTGTAGGTGTTCCTGCTTGAACAGAGGGGTTGGACTAGATCTCTAGAGGTCCCTTCCAACCGTAATGATTCTGTGATTCTGTTTCATTTACAATTTCTGTTATCCAAATTGTTTACTCACGTATTTAGAGTATTTATTTATTATGTTCCAGTAACCTAGGGTCTTTTCTCTAGGGTCTGTTAAGATAATATTTTCCTACTTCTTAGGCAATCCCAGTTTGGTGGTAATGCCGAGGCCTTTGATGTAACTGCAGCCATTTGTCCCAATTTAGATTTTGTTCCCTCAGGCATTCCGACTGGTCTTTATACAGAACTAGAGAGAAAACAAAAGCAATCAATCAAAAGGAGATTTTTGATCCACAAACCAGTAAGGGATTATATATAATTATACAGAAAGAAGATGATGGCAATTTGGGTGTAAGACCTTAGCCTCACTTCTCATTCATATGAATTAATTTATAATTTGTCTTGAACAGGCCTAATCTATTAGTTGAAGCTGGGGAGAAAGGTGCTAGCATTTAGTCATTAAACGTGTTCTGAATCTCATTTGAGAGGAAAGATTGCTGGCTCCTGAATTATAGATTAAGCAGTATTGCTGTATGTATTTTCCTTTCAAATGTCAGTATGGAGTAGTGTCTTTTGGCAGTGTTGCTGCATTAGATTTCTTTAGCAATCACTTTAAATTATATGCTTTACAGCTTTAAAAGGAAAGTACAAGAATGGCATGCATCTGTCTTTCTTGTTTCCATTCCAATTATTGAAGAAAGAAATGAGTTTCAGCAATTTAGAATTTCTTCATTCATGATTTTCTAGTACTGTACTTGGTATACTTATAATTCGCCCTATACTGTATGGAACTAATGAGAATGTCTAAGAATAACTCGTTAATTTGAAAGCTTATTAAAATGAATAAACCTTGAACCTTGTATTTGAAATTGCAGATTGTAATGTGAAAGATACTTTTGAATTGAAGTTCCCTGGGAAATCTGATTGAATTACACTCGCCGTAGTAGTGGCTCGGACTGGATAATCTCTGGAGGCATCTTCCAACTTTAAAATTTCTGTGGTTCCCTGTTGTCCAGGTAAGTGTACCACTGCATAACATGAACACTTTAGACAGAGTAAATCAGAAGAATTTACCTTTTTGCAATGAGAGAATAATAGGAAAAAAAATGTCTGAGGAAGTATGGAATAATTAGAAGAATTTTCCATAACCTTTTTTTGGCAAGAAAAAAGAGCTCAAAGATGCTAGAGTCATCAGAGAAAATTGTCAGTTTAAAACTGTTAATAGTATTCACTATACATTTCACACTGAGAGTGTTCACAGGTTTCCATCTCCAACCCATTTACATTATCTAATATGGAAGTCAACAAAGATATTTTAGAGATTATATGGTTTGATAGTCCAGAATTAACAGAAAGCTGATAATTTTCAACAAAATTTCGTGAACAGTGATAGTTTTGGGGGAGAGGACTTGCAAGCTACTTGGATTTTGTGCAAATTTGCAATGTTTTGTAGAGTTACTTTGCTGCATACTGCACCTCCCTATGCATTGCTTGTTCATAAAATATAACACTGAATTATGAATGGTTTTACTGTATACCACATCTGCGATATTTTTGTTAACAAGCTCTGCAATATTTCTTTGAGTTGTGAAAGTCATAGTTTGTATATGGTCTAATTGATACGGAAATACTGAATTCAAAGTTAATTAATGAATCAATGGCCAAAAAGAGCAAGTGAATTATAAAACATAGAACCTCCACCAGGAGTCCTGAGTAGCAACCTAGCACAAGAATTTTTTGCTTTACATAAGTTAGGCAACTCACTCTCTTGTCTCAGTTACAGTGTGCTTTGCTAAAAAGCAAAACTTAGTAAAAGATAAGATCAATTTACTGGACCAGTCAAATATACTGTCTGAAAATTATTCCCTAAACAAATGGAATGCATGTGCATGGCCAAATTTGGTTGTACAATTCTGTTACTTTTGGTGGGGGAATATCCTATTAAAAAACATTGACCAAGTTTTACATATACTTTAAAATAAATTTACCATGTCAGTGGACATAGATAATATTGCAACACCTCTCTCTCTCTCTCTGTCTCTCTCTCTATATATATATGTTTTACATGGTTTGCAATCCAAACTGTACTTGGGAATAGAAACTCTTAGGCAGCCTTACATATTGTTAGCACTTACATATTGTTAGACAGCCTGTTGTTAGCACTTCAGCTGTTACAATTGACAAAAACATATATAATTATACTAGTCCATTCTCTAGATTTCTACCACTCAGAAACAAGCACGAATACAAAGATAATAACAAACATGACAGAACTGCAGTAACATGAGACAGCTGAAAGACTTGATTTGACTTTCAGTTTGCAAGCACGCTTGCATACATTTGCAGGCTGCAGAGTAAACAACAAAGGTAACCTGCTGCTGACTGTGTACACTCTGTCTAGGCCACATCCTGTGAAGCCTAAAATACTGTCCAAGACTTGATTTTAAGCCACCCTAGGCAGATATTAGCATATTAATTTGTGATATTTTCTGAAAGATAAATAAAATACATTGAATTATGATATGATATAATTAAAAATGTTCTGAAAACAATTGGACTTTCTCCGTTGATAAATCTTTATAGCATGTGTAATCCATGTATGGAAGAGACATCAAGAAATGTATCAGTCCTATTTTTAGGACTATTTACAGTTGCATCTTCTCCATCATCACTGCTATCAGAATCTTCACTCCTTCTTTTAAGTCACAGACATATAAAATGAAGTGCAAACATTATGCTACTTGCTATATACTAGTCCCATTTTATGATTAGCAAAACACTTTGCATACTTATTAGTAGAAAAAGACAAATCTTTCCCTCTTCCCCTGTGCAAAAAAACGGAAGTCAGAGCAGGTGGATGCTTGTGCAAAGCTGATGCCTTTACAATAAGCAGCGGATCAAGGGTGACGTGAGCCGGCCCAAACGGATGGTGTTCCTGCTGCAGCACGCTGAAAAAGCCTCTGTCACTCACTGCTACCCCAAAAAAGACTCTGATTTTTCACCCCAGAGCTGGACCAGCAAAGGCCCCGCGGGGATGCCACAGGGAGAGGAGACGGAGGGAGGTGCCTGAGGAGAGGCTGGCGCGGGCATGGGCGGGTGGCGAGGGGATGAAATGGCGGCTGCGCCGGGCGCTTGCGGCCCCGGTGCGGCGAGCGCGGCCGCTCTGCCCAGGGAGGCCAAGCGAGGGCTGCCCGTGCCGGGCGTGAGCCGAGCCCGCCCGCGGCGCCGGCCCGCGGGCACGCGTCGTGTCCAGGAGGCGCGCGTGTCAGAATGCAGCGGCGCCGGGGATGCCCTGCTGCCCCTGCCTCACGTCACTGGGCCACTGATAAAACAGCGTGAACAGCAAGGTTTGTAAGAAAGCTGGAGCCTCGCAAATCCTTTCACGTTGCAGTGTGGCTACTCACATCTTCCCTCTGCTGGTTACTTGGCAGAAAGTGTGCGGAGCTGTGCAGACACAAATGCAGGTATCAAGTCATCCAAACACCAAGGTAAAACAAGCGATAGGTGAGGGACAGTCACCTGGAGCAGGTGTTACTTTTCAGCACTTGCTTGGAAAGGTGAGAAAAACGTTGTAGTGGGTAAACATTATGTGTGGTGAATTGAGAGTGACAAAAATTACAAAATATGTTTTTTAATAGTTGTATATGATTTATAATTGCTTTATGAAAAGGATATTTGCATCATTATAAATAAGGAGGAAAGCAGCTGGAGCCCAGTTTTGCTTCTTACATTCATAATGTTCTCTTAATTAGAAGTGGTCCTGCCCTCGCCTCATTGTGAGTTGAAAAACACACACAAAAAGCAAACTACGTAATTTGATATGTTATATAATATTTCAAATATATATATATATGTTTTTAATTTCAGCATTATTAAAGCAC